TGTGACAATATTATACTATTACATTATTGTTGTTTAACAGAATTTCATAAAAAACTACGTAGTTTATATAAAGTCTGTAATAATCCAAAGCACACTGCAACTTTTCGTTTAACGTGAGTTAAAATGTTCGTCGATATAGAGCCTAGATTACGTACACAATCTTTTCCTGGTATTGGCACACCATTTATAGAAATACTCACATCACTTTGCTTCATTGATGTTACTTGTTGTCGAGTACCAAATGTGATTGACGTGCTCTTCGAAGGATTGACAACTAAATAATGCTTCCGAGACCACTGTACTATAGCACACAGATCCCTTTTTAATCCAGACACGGTAGGCAACTTGTCCGTCAGACTGGTATGAACATAGATCTGCGTATCGTTTCCATAGAGGTGGTAACAACAGTGAGCAATTACCTCTGTGATACTAGCTGAGTATAGAGAATAGAGTGTAGGTCCCAAAATAGAGCCCTGTACTTCGCTTTTGGTTATAGTTAAAGGTTCTGAAACGATAAAACTGCCGTCGACTTTCGCTCATTGAACCTTTTGAGAACGACCCGAAACTAACACAATAAACTGATATTTTATGTCAACAATGCTCTTATTACCTACCTATTAAGTATTTGTTATTACTTTCCTTTTCACAACGAGCTTTGGCAAATAGAACATGTTAAGGTTATAGTGCTAATTTGTTTGTTTAATTTGAATTAAGTTGTTACCAAATACACGAAGGTGAGTTGAGATCATAATTGCAAAGCCGTGCCGAGCAGATTCGAATGAGAAAGAAATTCGTTGCTCTAAAAATGTTCAGGAACTTGTTACACATAAAAATATATTTGGCGAATTGACATCGTCCGGTAGCTGACGCAACAAAAACTAAACACCTTACACTAACCACGTAAACACCAAGTTAGAAATGTACCATATAGTGGTGAATTGTGCCAGCAAGCACTACATTCAAAATACCCTTTAGTTTTTAATACAATTTAAATTATAATAAATCATCTAACATATTACAAAAACATATTATAGAATAAAATGCAAAGAAAATAATATGAAAGCTTAAAGATAGAAAATGTCATTGATGCAGTGTTTTAAAATTTGCATTTTTTAAAACCACTATGTAAAATAATATAAAGTAGAAAAAAGTATAAAGGTAGATTCAATGCATTTTTAATAGATAGATTTAGGATAGATTAGAATTTAGGTAGATAATACCATTAAGTAAGTAAGTACCTATATTTTGTTTGAAAACACGAAATATGTAAGTAATTAATATATTAAATATAAAATTATAATGTGTATTAATTTTACTGGAGGTTATAAAAACGACAATAAAATCAAACGTAACTATCAATATATTATGTCTACAGTTTCTGAATCGAACCTTATTACAAATTGAATATATGTCATTTTCTTTTAGTCCAAGGAGTGCACGACTTTACATCACGATAAAAAGTGGAAAGCAGGAGGCAGAGATTACAAAACTAAATAATTCTGTAATTAGTGTTAAACATGTGGAAGATTCCGTTCATACTAGCCGTTGTGGCTAGCCTGCTCTTGAAAGCTACATTTGCAGGTAAGATTGACAACTATGAGTAAGTCAAATAAGTGATTCCATTTTGCTATAACACTCGGTGCTGCTCGCCAACTTCATAAGCATGAACCTTACTTGATAGATATCTAGAGCTAGTGTCTAGATAGATGCTATTTGATATTTTAATATTTCTTGTCACATTTTATTTAAAGAGTGTTTGATATATTATCTATTACAGACTCATCTAGCTCAGCAGCAGCTTCTGCAGTGTCTGCTCAGACAGGACCTTGCAGCGGGAGTAAGTCTAATGTTTCAATAAACTTATTTAAATGCACCATACAACACGTCGGAATTACTGAGAGATTAGGATAGGGAAGCAAGCTTCAAAATCAAAATAAAATTTTACAAAAAAAAACAACTCGATCCAAGTACAGAACCTTCTTCTTCTTCGTAATGATAGTTCTTTTCCACAGTTCAACACTTCACGCCTATTTTGCGTACTCATGATAGTTTTAGTAGGTGTCAGAAATCCAGACTTGAGTAGAGTTGAATTTTCCATAAGATTTTCTTTGGATTCAAAAACCTTGCAATTTGAACAAACAAACATTTGGAGTCAATGTCATGCAATTATCATGCAAGTTGATAGATCTGAGTTTGCCGTAGGCGTGGCACCGACACCAAATGTAAATTTGATACTAAATGTCAAAGACTTAAATAGATATGCCCTGACCCCAAGATTTAAATCTTTGCTAAATGTAGGTACTTTAGATATACGTAAAGAATATAACCTAGCTAGAACCTATAAGAATGAAATCTTTTTCTTCATAATGATGGCTTTTTTATAGCTTCACATTCACGCCTATTTTGCGTGCTCAGGGTGGTCTAAGGTAGTTGTCAGAAATTAGTATTTGAGTAGATGAGTTTTTCCTAAGATTTTCTGTAGATTCAAAAAAACTTGCAAATTGAATAAAAATACATTTAGGAATCGGTGCTATGCATGTTAATCGATCTGAGTTGCCATTTATGGCTTGAGTTGACGTGCCAAATATTAATTTGAATTTTAATGTAATTTAGTTTAAGTAAGAAAATAGTGGTTGGTCCTGACGAGTTTTTACTGACTTAGGTATTAAATTAAAATCACTGGAATGTTTCGTCTATTTTCTATTACAGGCTCATCTAGCTCAGCAGCGGCAGCCGCTGCGTCTGGTCAGTCAGATGGAAATGGTGGGAGTGAGTTTGACGTTTCAATTTTCTTATTTATTTGCTTAGTTTTTTCTTCACACTTTTGCAGAAAGCACTATACAAAACAATGGGATTAGTGAGAGAATAGGGTACCCACAAAGCTTGCTTCAAAATGTAAATAACACTTTACTACAAAAAATTCAACTCGTTGAAGTACAGAACCTTCTCCTTCATAACAATGGCTTTTTTCCACAGTTCCACATTCACGCCTACATTGCGTGGTTAGATGTTAGAAATTAGGATTTGAGCAGATGAATTTTTCTTAAGATTATTTTTGATTCAAAAAAACCTTGCAATTTGAATAAATAAACATTTTGGAATCCATGCCATGCATGTTGATCGATTTGAGTTGCCATTAACGCTTAGGTTGGCATGGCAACAACACCAAATATTAATTTGACTTTGAATATACTTTTTTTGTTATATGTAAGTAAATAATGGCTGGTCCTGATGAGATATTACAAAGGTTTAGGTGGAATGTTTAGTCTATTATCTATTACAGGCTCCTCTAGCTCAGCAGCGGCAGCTGCTGCGTCTGGTCAGTCAGGTGATGGGGGTGAGTTTGCCGTTTCATTTAACTATTTATTTCTAATTTTCTTTTTCAGACTTTTGCAGAAAGCATTATACAAAACGATAGGATAATAATCCTGTCGCTAAGTAACTAGATGATGTATCCATTGGTAATCAGACTCCCTAATCTCAATAAAATATTAATAGAAAATATCAACTCTGTCCAAGCACAGACTTCCTTCTTCTTCTTAACCGTGACACTTTATGACTATTAGATTAGCGTACTTAAGACAGTTTTAGCAAGTATATTTAACCTGTCCAGGCTCATCTAGCTCAGCAGCTGCTGCTGCGGCAGCTCAATCCTCAGGACCTAGTGGGAGTAAGTAACATTTTATTTACTTAGTTTTAATAGGAATACGAACATGATATTTGTAAAACAATTTTATTTTATAATTATCTACATCATTATTGAATACGTAGTTATAAATACAATTATTATTGTTTCAAGACGGCTGCCCAGACGGGGAAGAGTACTCAGCCTGCCCGGAAGCATCCTGCTATCCACTAACATGTGGTGAAGTTGGTTACCCAAAGCCTAATTGTGGGAATACATCATTATGTTTATGCAAACCTGCGTGTATATGCAAAAGCGGAGATGTAAGGGACGAAACCGGAACGTGTATACCGTCCGATGAGTGTCGTGAGTGATTCTGATATTACATAATAATATCTTTAAAACCATGCAACGGAAAAATAATAATATCAGCAATATAATGTCACTTTCATTAAAATTGTGTCACCTCAGTGTCAGACGTAGTACAGTAAATTTCAAATTACAACATATTTGAAATATTTTTCTTTTACGCTGTTGCTGGCATAGCTTAGCAGTTACTTCAATATAGTTTTATTAAAAAACTTAAAAAAAACTTTGAAAAATTAATCTTATTTTCTAGCTTCTTGCGGCGGTGACGAAAATGCAGTAATTGGCTGCGGCAGCAATTGCGGAAAAAAGTGTACCGATTTAGTCGATCCTAGACCTGTCTGTGCTCTAGGTTGTATATTGAATGGCTGCGATTGTCGAAACGGCTTTTATTACGACAGTAACACAAAAAAATGTGTCAGTCCAGACCAATGCACCGGTGAGTGTTGCAATGCCTAAGTGTATGGTAATTAACTTGTCATATAACTAATTCTTTAATGAATATATTATTTCAAGCAATTTGCGCAAGGGTTTATTTGTTCCTTGTTTTAAAGAAAACCCAAGTTTACATCATAATTTAGGATTAGCATAGCATATGACTAGCATATTGCAACAACATAAATTAATGGGCTTTTCATTAACGGCCTTTTCCACTTTTAGTAACGTTAACCTCTGATTTCAAAAGTATTCTTACTTATAAAATTTAAAATTCAAACAAAGACCACACGCCCCGACTGGGGCGTGTGGTCTTTATTGAGTTGAGTGATGTGCGTGAAAACCTAAAAAACAAACATGTAGTTTTCTTGAAGTTATTTGCCCAGATCGGGAAGTGGAAGGGGTATTATTAGGAATAAGAACATGATATTTGTGAAACAATTTTATTTTATAATTATCTAGATCATTAATGAATACGTAGTAATAAATAAAATTATTATTGTTTGAAGATGGCTGCCCAGACGGGGAAGAGTACTCAGCCTGCCCGGAAGCATCCTGCTATCCACTGACATGTAGTGAAGTTGGTTACCCAAAGCCTGATTGTGGGAATACCTCATTATGTTTATGCAAACCTGCGTGCATATGTAAAAGCGGAGATGTAAGGGACGCAAGCGGAATGTGTATACCTTCCGATAAGTGTCGTGAGTGATTCTAATGTAATATATAAAATTCTCGTGTCACGGTGTGCGTAATTGAAGTACTCCGAAACGGTTCTACCGATTTTCGTGAAATTTTATATGCATATTCAGTAAGTCTGAGAATCGGACAACATAAATTTTTCATTCCCCTAAATGTTAATTGTGGTCCAACCTTAATTTTTTTTGGACATAATTTTAAGGTGTTGCATAGCTTTTATCGCGGGCTTTGAGCGCGGCGACCGAATGACAAAATTCCGTAACGAAAATAAAGCTAACAAAAAAATGTTTTCTATCGGTCACCACGCTTAAAAAGTGTAATTTGAATTAATATCTAAGAAAAAAAAACTGCATAAATGAAATAAATAAATATATAATTATAATTGCATAAGTTGATAAAAATGCTATGCAAAAGCTTTACCCTGGCAGTCCCCGAGTGCCATACGTATTTTTTTTTGTTTTTATTTTTTTATGATACATGATACAAAAAAACATACAACCCTAAATTTTCACCCTTCTACTACCAACTCCTATTTTTATGGCGCTACGAAGTTTGCTGGGACATCTAGTATTATTATAATATCTTGAAAACCATGCAACAAAATAATAATAATATCAACCATATAATATTACTTTAGATTTAAATTGCTGTTGCTGGCATAGCTTAGCAGTTCCTTCAATATAGTTTTATTAAAAAACTTAAAAAAAAACTTTGAAAAAATTAATCTTATTTTCTAGCTTCTTGCGGCGGTGACGAAAATGCAGTAATTGGCTGCGGCAGCAATTGCGGAAAAAAGTGTACCGATTTAGTCGATCCTAGACCTGTCTGTGCTCTAGGTTGTATATTGAATGGCTGCGATTGTCGAAACGGCTTTTATTACGACAGTAACACAAAAAAATGTGTCAGTCCAGACCAATGCACCGGTGAGTGTTGCAATGCCTAAGTGTATGGTAATTAACTTGTCATATAAGTAATTCTTAAATGAATATATTATTTCAAGCAATTTGCTCAAGGGTTTATTTGTTCCTTGTTTTAAAGAAAAACCAAGTTTACATCATAATTTAGGATTAGCATAGCATATGACGAGCATATTGCAACAACATAAATTAATGGGCTTTTCATTAACGGCCTTTTCCACTTTTAGTAACGTTAACCTCGGATTTCAAAAGTATTCTTACTTATAAAATTTAAAATTCAAACAAAGACCACACGCCCCAGTCGGGGCGTGTGGTCTTTATTGAGTTGTGTGATGTGCGTGAAAACCTAAAAAACAAACATGTAGTTTTCTTGAAGTTATTTGCCCAGATCGGGAAGTGGAAGGGGTATTATTAGGAATAAGAACATGATATTTGTGAAACAATTTTATTTTATAATTATCTAGATCATTAATGAATACGTAGTTATAAATAAAATTATTATTGTTTGAAGATGGCTGCCCAGACGGGGAAGAGTACTCAGCCTGCCCGGAAGCATCCTGCTATCCACTGACATGTAGTGAAGTTGGTTACCCAAAGCCTGATTGTGGGAATACCTCATTATGTTTATGCAAACCTGCGTGCATATGTAAAAGCGGAGATGTAAGGGACGCAAGCGGAATGTGTATACCTTCCGATAAGTGTCGTGAGTGATTCTAATGTAATATATAAAATTCTCGTGTCACGGTGTGCGTAATTGAAGTACTCCGAAACGGTTCTACCGATTTTCGTGAAATTTTATATGCATATTCAATAAGTCTGAGAATCGGACAACATCAATATTTCATTCCCCTAAATGTTAATTGTGGTCCAACCTTAATTTTTTTTGGACATAATTTTAAGGTGTTGCATAGCTTTTATCGCGGGCTTTGAGCGCGGCGACCGAATGACAAAATTCCGTAACGAAAATAAAGCTAACAAAAAAATGTTTTCTATCGGTCACCACGCTTAAAAAGTGTAATTTGAATTAATATCTAAGAAAAAAAAACTGCATAAATGAAATAAATAAATAGATAATTATAATTGCATAAGTTGATAAAAATGCTATGCAAAAGCTTTACTCTGGCAGTCCCCGAGTGCCATACGTATTTTTTTTTGTTGTTATTTTTTTATGATACATGATACAAAAAAACATACAACCCTAAATTTTCACCCTTCTACTACCAACTCCTACTTTTATGGCGCTACGAAGTTTGCTGGGACATCTAGTATTATTATAATATCTTGAAAACCATGCAACAAAATAATAATAATATCAACCATATAATATCACTTTAGATTTAAATTGCTGTTGCTGGCATAGCTTAGCAGTTACTTCAATATAGTTTTATTAAAAAACTTAAAAAAAAACTTTGAAAAAATTAATCTTATTTTCTAGCTTCTTGCGGCGGTGACGAAAATGCAGTAATTGGCTGCGGCAGCAATTGCGGAAAAAAGTGTACCGATTTAGTCGATCCTAGACCTGTCTGTGCTCTAGGTTGTATATTGAATGGCTGCGATTGTCGAAACGGCTTTTATTACGACAGTAACACAAAAAAATGTGTCAGTCCAGACCAATGCACCGGTGAGTGTTGCAATGCCTAAGTGTATGGTAATTAACTTGTCATATAAGTAATTCTTAAATGAATATATTATTTCAAGCAATTTGCTCAAGGGTTTATTTGTTCCTTGTTTTAAAGAAAAACCAAGTTTACATCATAATTTAGGATTAGCATAGCATATGACGAGCATATTGCAACAACATAAATTAATGGGCTTTTCATTAACGGCCTTTTCCACTTTTAGTAACGTTAACCTCGGATTTCAAAAGTATTCTTACTTATAAAATTTAAAATTCAAACAAAGACCACACGCCCCGACTGGGGCGTGTGGTCTTTATTGAGTTGTGTGATGTGCGTGAAAACCTAAAAAACAAACATGTAGTTTTCTTGAAGTTATTTGCCCAGATCGGGAAGTGGAAGGGGTATTATTAGGAATAAGAACATGATATTTGTGAAACAATTTTATTTTATAATTATCTAGATCATTAATGAATACGTAGTTATAAATAAAATTATTATTGTTTGAAGATGGCTGCCCAGACGGGGAAGAGTACTCAGCCTGCCCGGAAGCATCCTGCTATCCACTGACATGTAGTGAAGTTGGTTACCCAAAGCCTGATTGTGGGAATACCTCATTATGTTTATGCAAACCTGCGTGCATATGTAAAAGCGGAGATGTAAGGGACGCAAGCGGAATGTGTATACCTACCGATAAGTGTCGTGAGTGATTCTAATGTAATATATAAAATTCTCGTGTCACGGTGTGCGTAATTGAAGTACTCCGAAACGGTTCTACCGATTTTCGTGAAATTTTATATGCATATTCAGTAAGTCTGAGAATCGGACAACATAAATTTTTCATTCCCCTAAATGTTAATTGTGGTCCAACCTTAATTTTTTTTGGACATAATTTTAAGGTGTTGCATAGCTTTTATCGCGGGCTTTGAGCGCGGCGACCGAATGACAAAATTCCGTAACGAAAATAAAGCTAACAAAAAAATGTTTTCTATCGGTCACCACGCTTAAAAAGTGTAATTTGAATTAATATCTAAGAAAAAAAAACTGCATAAATGAAATAAATAAATATATAATTATAATTGCATAAGTTGATAAAAATGCTATGCAAAAGCTTTACCCTGGCAGTCCCCGAGTGCCATACGTATTTTTTTTTGTTTTTATTTTTTTATGATACATGATACAAAAAAACATACAACCCTAAATTTTCACCCTTCTACTACCAACTCCTATTTTTATGGCGCTACGAAGTTTGCTGGGACATCTAGTATTATTATAATATCTTGAAAACCATGCAACAAAATAATAATAATATCAACCATATAATATCACTTTAGATTTAAATTGCTGGTGCTGGCATATAGCTTGGCAGTTAGTTAAATATAGTTTTATTAAAAAACTTAAAAAAAATGTTTGAAAAAATTAATCTTATTTTCTAGCTTCTTGTGGCGGTGACGAAAATGCAGTAATTGGCTGCGGCAGCAATTGCGGAAAAAAGTGTACCGATTTAGTCGATCCAAGACCTGTCTGTCCTCTAGGTTGTATATTGAATGGCTGCGATTGTCGAGACGGCTTTTATTACGACAGTAACACAAAAAAATGTGTCAGTCCAGACCAATGCACCGGTGAGTGTTGCAATGCCTAAGTGTATGGTGATTAACTTGCCATATAAGTAATTCGTAAATGAATATATTTCTTAAAGCAATTTGCTCAAGGGTTTATTTGTTCCTTGTTTTAAAGAAAAACTTTACATCATAATTTAGGATTAGAATAGCATATTACAAGCATATTACATAGCATATTGCAAGAACATGAATTGATGGGCTTTTCATTAACAGCCTTTTTCACTTTGAGTAAGGTTAAACTCTGATATCAAAAGTATTCTTCCTCATAAAACTTAAAATTTAAACAAACATCCGATAACTGTATGATTAATATTAATACGGCATGTGTCTAACAGTTCTCGTGAGTCATTTCGTTATCATCATGCAGTATCTCGTTAACAATGAAATGTATTTTGTGTATAGATAACTGCCCGGATGGGGAAGAATATTCTGCCTGCCCGGAAGCGTCCTGCAATCCTGTGACATGTAGCGAAGTCGGTTTCCCAAAGGCCAATTGTGGGGATACCTCTTTAAGTTCCTGCAAGCCTGCGTGCATATGCAAAGACGGAAATATCAGGGACGAAAGCGGAAAGTGTATACCTTCCAATGAGTGTCGTGAGTGATTTTAATATAATTATCAAATCTTATAATCAAATAAGACTTAGATTATTATGAGTTCAAGTCTTCGTAAGTGGTAGATCTTAAGATGATGAAGTACCATGTGATTCATTACATCCCCTGCCCCGCCGTTACCATAGTTATTACATGACTAGGAGTAATTACTTCAAGATGTATGCGTAGTATCGATCTCTTTCTTTAGCTATGTTTATGCGAATAAAAACTTAAAAATATTTAAATTAATTAATTCAATCCGAAATAAGACGTAAGGATAAATAAGAAAGTTTAATTATTAATTTTATGTAGTAATTTCGATGAATTTCGCTTTCGTTACATTTAATAAATAAAAACCCTTTTGCGTTTATTACTTAAATGAAGCTCATTACAATTATTTAAATAACTGATTTTCGACCAAAGTGGCAGTTTTTGCCTTTCCACTGTGGATATTAATATGATGCTTACTTTTATTGCAAACCCAAATTCAAAGTAGTTTATAGAAAACAAGTTTTACAGAATTTATAAAAATAAAATGATATTGAAGTATTATCATTTTTAATTACATCCTTGGGTTATACCCATGGAATAAAAATATATGTCAGTAGAGCAATATTTGATATCGGCTCCTTTTCAATGTTACAGATGATGTTACCTTTAGGTAACCTAAAGGTAAAAATAAAAGACAGTTTTTTATTTCTCCTGAAAACTTACATTTTTAGTTATCTTTTTATTCTCCGGGGACGGCGACTTGTCATTTTTGTTTATTAATATTGTTCCACTTGTCGTATGTTGTGTTCTGTTTTGTTGTGTGTTTTTTTGTTTAGTGTGCCTGTTATATATTTTTAATGATTTTAAAGTTAGTGTTTTATTGTATTACTCAACAAATGCCGTCCCTTACACTCATAATTTTGTAAGCCAATATCTAATATATAAAATTCTCGTGTCCCGGTGTTTGTGGTTAAACTCCTCCGAAACTGCTCGGAACGGACGGAATTTTATATGCATATTGAGTAGGCCTGAGAATCGGACAACATCTATTTTTTATCTTCCTAAATGTTAAGGGTAATCCACTCCTAAATTTTTTTTTTCAATTTTTTATGATACATCATACAAAAATAAATATAACCCAAAATTTTCGTCCTTCTACCACCAACCCCTATTTTTTATGGCGGTACGAAGTTCGCTGGGTCAGCTAGTAATATATATATATAATTATTTAAGCATAAATTTCATAGGTAAGTTAATTGAAAAGTAAAACCATTACATCGTTAAAATCTTAGAGTAAGAATAGTCTTTTGGCCTTCAAATATTGACCTAAATTTTCCTTGTTTCATTTATCTTATCTCTCAAGTGGCTGGTGCTTTGTCGGCCAATGTAACAGCACGCTCGTAACCACTATACCTAACAATATATAGTCATTGGGGACTACAAAAACCGATTATGCTTAAATAAATAACTCCGAATATTTTTTTCCAAAGGTATTAACTTAATGCCATTGTTATTTCAGACATAATAAAAATTTGATCGAAATTTAAAAAAATATATGTCTTAAAGATATTCGTTTCATTAGGACTATGCGTGTGTTATGCCAAATTAATTTCTGAGCAGCAAGATTCTGTCAGATAGAGGGAACCCTAAAATAATTGTACAAATGTACATACAATATTATCTATAACTTTTTAGGGTTCCTTCTATTTTTCCTTTATTTTTTGACGAAACTTATGAAAATTTTAGCATCCTGTGGCGGTGATGAGAATGCAGTACCTGGTTGTGGCATCAATTGCGGAAAACAGTGTTCCGATTTAATCGAACCGAAGAATTTCTGTATTCTTGTTTGCTTAGTGAACGCGTGCGATTGTAAAGAAGGTTTTTATTATGACAACACAACAAAAAAATGTGTCAAGCCAGAAGACTGTACCTGTGAGTGTTATACATATATATATTTTCTCAGATTACAGAATAATAGGCAGATGAAACTCACGGAACACGCAAGTGCGGCCACCAAGCAAATACAAAGTCAAAAATAAAGACTTGTTTTGTCTTTGTGAACAGATTTTACAATGCTTGAGCGGCACAGTTTTGATAAAAACTTAATATTCACGAGACGTATTCACAACACGACGAGTACTGGCGCAAGTTAGTATTCTCATTTGACTTCGTATTTGCTTTGGTTGCCGCGTGTTCAGTGCGTTTCATCTGCCTTTTATTCTGTAATCTGATCTTATTTTTTACATAACTTCATAATACGGCTACTTTTCATTCTGTTTTGTATAAAAAAGAATAATATACCTTACGGAATAGTATTACTTTATGGGGTAGATCAGGTGTCATGATCACTATTGAATATAGTAGTTTTGAATATTATATCCACAAAATCGAATCATTTATTAACATAGATAGTCAATTTTTTTTTGTAATAAATACCTGTGCATATATGTGTATATTTTTTATTATTGGTTTCGCTGGAATCATAATTTTGTTTTATATAAATTAATTGTTTGAAGATGACAACTGTCCAGTGGACGAAGAATTCTCTGGCTGTCCCGAAGCATCCTGTAACCCTCTAACATGTGACGAAGTTGGTTTCCCAAAGCCTGATTGTGTGGATAGCTCCATAAAGACATGCAAACCGGCGTGCATATGCAAAAACGGATATGTCAGGGACCAAAGTGGAAAGTGTATACCGTCCAATCAGTGTCGTGAGTGACTCCATTAAATAAACATAATCCGTACTAATATTATAAATGCTAAAGTGTGTCTGTCTTTCTGTTTCTTAACCGATTTAGATGAAGTTTGGGGTACATATAGTTTGTGTCCTGGGGAAGGACATTTGATACATGTTTTTTTTTACATCAGGAATATTCGTTACGCATAGCCCACCACTTGGGAGTGCGGCAAGGTTATGTGGGACTCCTCCCCCCTGCTCCCGCCCACCCGCTCAGCCAGACCGAGAACTGGCTCAACGGCTGCTCGGGAAGAGGAGGAGGGCCTGTCTACTAAAATGCTGACGATATCCTTCACCTCACAGACGGGCCATGTCTTTCCTGGGCGAATGATCAACCACCCGGCGGTACCGCGCCCAGCAAGGAGACGGCACTGGGTGCACTTCCGCGACCTCACCAGGGTCCGACTCAAACGGACTCACCCATCATAGGGATGCCCCGAGGCATCAGAGACATTCACAACCATAAACAGAGGCCTGTGCAATGCAGGATCCGGACCCCCCAGGTCTAGACCCCGCTGGCCTCCGAATACTTTTTATCCTAGAAAGTATCCTGAATGGGGGTAAAAATGTGGGTGGAAGTTTGTATGGGAAACCAATTTTTAGACGCAGAACGAGCCCTTGTTTTAACAATAGTAGGAAACAGTTGTTTTCAACAATTTGTTCTTAATGAATACCTACAAGCCCCAGCAAACCATTCAACCTACTTGATTTGTTAGGGCAGTCTAGTTGCAAAGATATCTGATGCAGCATAATCAAATATCCTCTCAGTCCATGAGCCGTTCTGAGAATATCAATATAAGCGCTGGTTTTAAGGTCAGATTAGGAAAGGGAAAAAGTTGTGGACATACGTTGCACTTCTTGATTTTGCCTCCTTCTTGATTATTTGGGTTCGCCACGTCTCAGCTATAGTACTGATCACTTTAGTTCGTTCAAGCTTGAACTTTGTAATTTATCTTGCTTAATACACTCGCACCTCACTTATCACATAACTGGAGTAATGCCTAGTTTTATTTTCAGATATTTACTTGATATTTTTGGACAGTTCATGTAAGTAGAGTCACTACTTATGTGAACTGTCATCAAAGAAACACTGGCGAACGTCCTCTCCGAATGTTACTGCGTTCCGCTTGCATCTTCACCAATCAGTCAAAAGTAGCAGTGTGTTAAACAATCAGTAACACAGTTTTAAAAAAGTTTTTATTTTCATATGACACAAACAAAATGCTATATGAATAAATTGATTTCAGTAAACCAATTTTCAAATAGACTGTCTAATAATAAGTAGTGAGTGACGTAATTAAATTAAGTGTTTGGATTTCTAGCATCTTGTGGCGGTGATGAAAATGCAGAGCCTGGTTGTGGCATCAATTGTAGGAAACAGTGTTCCGATTTGGTTGATCCAAAAAATATCTGTATTCTTCGGTGCAAATTGAATGCGTGTGATTGTAAAAAGGGCTTCTATTTCGACAGTAATACCAATAGATGCGTCAGTCCTGATCAATGCACTTGTAAGTAATTAATATAACATAAAAAAATACAGAATTCACCATTGACTTGCACTATTGTGGTGCAAATGAAACTGATTGGTTTCGTTTGCACCACTGATTGCCACTTTAAGGCAAATGAACTACAGTTCCCACCTGTCAGATAATGTCATCTACACCGTTGTGATGATATTTGTACTATAATTTTGGTTAAATAATTAGGTATTACTATTATATGTACAAATTAGTGGTACACTACTCAAAGCTCAAATGCAAACTAGGGATGAGAAATTATTCACCAGCTGACAAAGAACGTAATGAAAATACTCACGGAATATATATATAAATTACTGGAGAGAAATAACACACCACTTTTATCGTCCGCCGTTGTTCATTTTATTTTCTTCAATAATCAATCAGGAATGTCAGTAATAAAAAAAACATAAGGCGGAGACAATCACATCGGTTGCAATGCATCCTCATTATTTAACATCACCAACCATTGAAATCATTTGTGTCTCCCACATCTGCTAATTAAATAATAATAAATAATTTATTTAGAACAAGTTCATTGTACATAAAATCATGAAAGTTTGTTGCAGAATTAACGCCCATTTCCTATAAAATTATATTTTTGTTGATTTCTAGCCACATGCTCTGGTCCCAATGAAGTATACGACCAATGCCCGGATTGCTCGCCGCAGACATGCGCAACTAGAAATAAAATATACGACTGCCCATTGAATACTGAATCTGGGCCCAACTGTAAACCAGCCTGTAGATGCATAACTGGCTATTTCAGGAACTCTAAGGGAATATGTGTGCCCCGCAATGAATGTGGTCAGTAATAACGGCATAATTGTTGTGTTCCATTTATTTCAAATTCTTCAAAAGTTTTCATAATTTTACATTTTGATATGACCGATTAAAATCATCCGATAAATTTTAGAATGAGGCAAAATTCATCCAAATATAAGTTATTGAAAACGTCAATGTTCAAAAATCAAGACAGTTTAGACTAAATTATAATCCCTAAATAGAATAAGGTGTAAAGTTGTTTTAACATTTACCTCAAAATAGAGAACTATTTCTTAAAACAAGAATAACTAACCTATTTTAGAGAATCTAATTAAAATTACAAAAAATTCATTTAGAAACCCCAAGGTGTCCCTTTGGAGAGTATTACTCTGACTGTCCACCAATTCCATGCGATGCAGAATTTTGTCCAAGAAACAGGAATTCACCGCAAACCTGTGCAGTACCTAAGATCTGTGGGAAAGCCAGGTGTTTATGTGGATTTAATCAAAAACGCGATCGCAGCACTGGCCGATGCATTCCTATTAGAAACTGCCGTGAGTATTTTTAGATCGATAACGAGAAAAGTATCATTTAGAGCCACGAACTCATGGAAAACTAATAGTCCTATGAGTGACGGATAGCTACTGAGAGACTGAATATTGAAATGTTTAAGGAGATATGCGTAACAAGCAGCGCAAAATTTCCTTACCCGGTAAATAGGAGTAATTTTATTTAAAAAAACTTGGCCAAGTGCAACTTTGACTTGAGCACAAAGGGGTCTGTACCATTATCTTTACCATATCAGACACTTTACAATAATTTAGATCAAAAATGCAAATAAATTACGTCTTTTGTATATAATAATCTATTATAATATCGAGCAAAAAACGGCAAAAATTCACGGGACATCGCAACAAACCGCAAAAGGAAAATTCATTTACCAAAAATTCACACTACTTCTACTAGTTTGGATTTTGAGATAAACCCCGTAACTGTAACCCCATAACCCCGTTTTTGGTTATAAAAATTCACGGAACATCGCAACAAACCGCAAAAGGAAAATTCATTTACCAAAAATTCAAACTATTTCTACTAGTTTCGATTTTGAGATAAACCCCGTAACAAAAAATTCAGTTCTGCAACTCATTCGGTTAACGATCTAGAGACCTGAACAGACATACCACGGAGTGACAGCATAGGGGCGGCAGTATTCCGACGACGCATTCCGGCAAAGGATGGGAAACGTCAATAAATAAATAAAATCAGTGCAGCTCACCCGTTGTAACTTGTTTTATTTCATGAGTGATGTGCGTGAAAACCTAAGAAAAATATATGGTTTTTCCTAATTTCAGGATTTTTTAAATAAATAAAATAAAGACTCCTTCTCAAATATATTGTGGTAAACATACAGGCAAATATGGAACCCTACATTGCGAGTGGTACGACACGCACTTGGCCGGTTTTTGTTATTCATTATTCTGCAAAGCTTACTATTTACTGATTGAACACTTCATTTAGAACTTTAATATGAAGCACATTTTCATGATTTTCTCCATATAAAAACATAGATTGAAGTTGAATACAAATCAGGTAGGCAGGTGTAATAATATTTAATAGATAAACAAACATCTTGAAACAAATATGTCCGTTTTCAGCTCCTTTTGCCTGTTATGGACGTAATGAAATTTACGATAGCTGCCCACCCGTTTGCCCTGGACAAACCTGCACAGATTACTTGAGAAACGCAACATGTCCAAGATACCGTATAGGTATCGTGGTACCTTGCAAACCAGCATGTAGATGCAGGAAAGGTTACTATCGGAATCACAGAGGTTGCTGTGTCCGTGCCAGGAGATGTAAATTTTATTAATTTTTGTTTTACTGTACTGCATGTAGCAGTCTTTCTGCTATTCATTCATATTATATAAGTGACATCAAAATCAATTATATTATATATCAAACAGTTTGAAATATATCATATATCTGTGAAATTATAGTTTTATTAAGTCTTTTTCCAATGTGTTGCACACAGGTGAACAAACCTCAATAAATACATCGCAACAACTACCAAACCAGTCAAACCAGAACTCATGCAATAATTTAGCCAATCAGCAGCTAGCTTTTGAATATGGAGCCAACACGTTCACTATGAAATTCTTGTATGTTAGTATCACCATTATTTTACCAAATAATAATTATACTATCCTCAACCAACCCTAATGAATCTTGAACAATAAAGTTCTCAGGAATATAATAACATAAAATATATACTACGTAGTACTTAGTACGACAAGTCGTTGGTCAGCTCTAACCTGTCATTTTATGGTAAGTTTTTATAATTGCCTTATTTTCATTCCACTTTATCCGGTTATCTTATTTCAGACTTCATAAATAAGCTTCATTATTTTACCTATCACTTGAAATTATTATTACAAGATAATTATGGGGGCAAGATAGGTTAATTCATTTGATTCTAAACTCCAATGTGCTGATCTTTGTGAATCATCATACTTTTCACAGACTGCTCTAGTCTGCTACCAATTTATACGTAGCACTATCAAATCAATGAAGTTGGCTAGTTTACAACTATATTCGAGTAGACACTGGCATCGTTTGCTCCCTCAGTAATCAGCGGTAACTATATAGCAATACAGGCTCGATCCAAAGTTTCTTAAAATTTTAAAAGTTATAAAAAGTGTGATTTCAATTTTAACTTAATTATACAATTATTTTTTTTTAACCATGTAACTGCTCGATGTTTAAATCTAAAGAAAACATAACTAGAAAAAAATCCACGCAGACAACTACAACAAGAGAAATAACCACAATTATTGCTTTTTCTTCTTTCAAGTGTTTACTACTCGTAAAGGTATTCATTTGACATTGTGGGTTTACCTACAATGCGAAGAAATGGCGCTGTCTTGCAGCTCAAGAAAGGCTAGAAAGAATTCGACTCGGTCATCAGGGCCGCGGTAGCATAATTGTTAGTGCATTCGCCCGGATAGAGAAAGGTGCGGGGTCCGCGTGGATTTTTTTCTAGTAATATTTTCTTTAGATTTTAAATTATACTAATTTACTTATCAGCAACTTGTGAAAGCAAATCCTGAAATAAGCGTTATCTCATCTGCCGCTTCGGTGTTGATTCCTTTGGCAGAATTGGCATTATACTCTCAAGGATCTACGTATACAGAAATAATGAATGTTTTGAATTTAACTACTAAGGAGGAGGTGAGAAACAGACAATGTAATATTGATAAATTCTTAGTTTTAAAGATGACACTTTTTAAAAGGTGACTTAAGTTATGCCTCTAGCGTCATCGGTCTATTAATGTTGGAAACAGATATAGAAACTGACCCACCTCAGCACTCAGTCCGGCTTTTTGGATGCTAATGATTGCAGATGCAGGGTCAATGCGGATTAACGTGCCTACCAAAAGAACAATGTCAGATTCTGGTTAACAAAACTTTTAATTATAAAATGGCACGGACACATGTCTTTTACATACAACAAGAAACATAAATTATCGAATGTTTAAAATTACATTTATCTTTTTTCGAGAACTTCTCCAATATTTATTAATAAACAAATAGCTGACCGGAAATCTAACATAAAATAATTTGAGTTGCCATTTTGTTTCTCTCTGATTTATTGCAATAAAAAGAAAGAGACAAGGAGTTCCGAGACGACGCACTGGCATTAATAATTACTGATGTGATAACTTAAAAGAATACAGCAATAGTGAATTTGAATCAGTCGTTTTTTGCATTCATTAAAATGATTCGAATAATCATCGAAATGTATTATTAATTGTAATTACCAACCCAGACGACCGTACTTTGGGTCTACCACAATGCGCATATAAAATAGCATAAGTCTACCAACTAGTAAAGGTACCTCAAACACAGACCCGAGACAATGTAAAACAGTTATTTTTCTGGATAAATGAGATGGAGTAGCGAACCTGAGTACCCAGATATGGCGACACCATGAGAATCGGTGTGGAAGCCACTCCGCCACGGTGATAGTCAAATTGAAATAACCTCAAAATTCCACATTTGTATTATCGAAGTATTTATGTGCAAAGTTCTTTAGAATTTTTAATGTTCTGGAAATGTTTTAGTTATTAACAACACACAATAAAAGTATTTTCATTGCTGTCCGTGAACATTTTATATTAAGGCAAAGTTACTATGGACACTTGGCATTGTTCTTTTGTATAGACAACTGGAAAATAATACAGTATTGGGTCGTATGCTTGTTTAACGGATAGTGCAGCTGAAATAAGAAGGTGGAGTTGATAGGAATCTGATAATTTGTTACAAAATAATTCAATTGTTTGAGGAATACTTTTCTTTATTTTTGGTAGATACGTTGTGTCTTTAAAACTTTTTTGGATGCTTTCAAAGCGAATGAAGGAACGGAATTGGATTTTGCTAATAAAATCTACGTAGCTGAAAAATATAATCTTAGCGAATCTTTTCAACAAGATATTTCGACTGTTTTTAATGGTGAAGCAGAGAGCATAAATTTTGACAAACCTTACCAAGCAGCTGCTACTGTAAATCAATGGGTATGTTTGTATGTTTTAATTTTAATTAATTGAATGCATACCTTTATATTTGTATTTTATATCAATTTTTCAACCAGGTTTCCGATAAAACAAAAGAAAAAATTACTAACTTGGTGGCACCTGATATGTTCGACTCTATGACACGCCTATTGCTGGCTAATGCTGTTTTCTTCAAGGTCTGTTTATCTGATATTTAAATCACAGAGTTTGGTTTACTTTTCTGTCTTTAAATTATTATAAAAATTCTAATCTATTTTTGATTGCAGGGTATATGGAAAACTAAATTTGATAGCAATAAAACGCAACCAATGGCTTTTTATGTGAATGCGAACAAAACCATTCAAGTCGAAATGATGCAATTAAAAACTAAAATGAACTACATTAATAACGACAATCTTGATGCACAGGTGACGAGAATCTAAATAGACCTTATGAAGATCCGTATTTCATTTTTATTTGCTCATATTGCACCACAAGATCAGTGGAGAAACCGAAATATCTCATAGTATTCGATGCCGCCTCACCAAGATGAGGCAGTTGCTTGATAATGTACTAAAAAATCTAATAATCTTTCATAAGTCATTATGATGTTAATAGAGCGTTTACTCATATTGATTTCAAACAAATATGTATATCAACGCACCAAAATCGGTTCTCATTACATTACGATTCTTTGATGACGTGAAACACTTACTGAGTTTTGTAATAAAATATGAAGTTCTAATTTATTAGCAGATGTATTGATAATAATAGTCAACGTAATTTTATAGTTTTCTTGCTAAAACATTTATATATTCGAACTCATTGTACTCAAAATTATTTTTTATGTCTGTTTCAGTTTATCGAATTACCTTATTTAGATGGTAACATCACACTTCTGGTTGCCGTACCGAATCAAAAATTTGGTCTAATGGATTTAATTAAAAACCTGCAAAACCCAACAGTTCTTGATGCTCTTCTGAATAGTTTGATTTTGGAAACTGTTACGTTGTATTTGCCCAAAATAGATGTTTCGACTAGTATCAATTTGAAAAATATTCTAAGCTCAGTAAGGTTCAACTGATTACATTTTTTATGATCAGGTTTTCCTTCTTATTTGGTATATAATTTAGATTGTATTTTTATCAGATTGGAGTTGGAACAGTTTTCACGTCTAGTGCTGAATTAAGCGGAATGACTGTACCAAATGCTGATTTATATGTATCACAAGCTGTGCAGAAAGCAACTATTACAATTAATGAGGAGGGTTCAATAGCAGCAGCGGCTAATGGTAAGGCAATAAATAAAATTAATAAAATATTCAAAACATTTCATAATCTACTCATACCAAGTGAAATTGTAGATAATAATGAGAAAATTAACTATGATTATTTTTCACAATCGATCTATGGGATAAAATTATAAGAAAAATGCATTTAAAATGTTAAAGTATCACTTATAATAACCAACTAAACTTGATTTACACAGCACTGGTGGTATCTACTAGAGCTATGCCAATATCGCCTCTGCAGGAATACGTGGTGAAAGCGGATCATCCATGCATCTACATTATAAAAATAAGAAACATACTATTATTTTGTGGCACTTTCTTTGGATGAAGCCTTTCGCACTGTGATAAAATTTATTTATATTCTGATAACTTTTTCCATATACATCGAAAAAGTCTAAGCAGCACGCATCATTCACAAAAACTGTGTTTTATTAATTTATCTTTATTTTTTGCCTGGGCAAAGTAGATTGGAATACAATGATTTTTGTTCTCAAAAGTATATGTATATAGTTTATTTCATATATTAAAAAAAAGGTTGTGTTTTGTATAAAATAGATGGTCAGTATAAATGAATATATTACAATAGAAAAAACCGTTCAAAAGTTTGAAACCGTACAACTTGGCGCTTCAACTTTTTGATGAATATATTTTTAAATGCTTTATATAAAAAGCTGTACTAGCATAACTAATAAATCTATAATCTTTTATACAAAGATTTCATAAGATATCTTATATTTTAAATGATAAATATAAACATATGCGTTTGTCTATATATAACTGAGATGTTATCAGTTCCATATTTTTTAAATATGCCAACGTATTAAGTCCGTGTAGCTTTTTTATACATTTGCGATCTGCTGCCTGAGATTCCTGTTTAAAGGTAGGTACTTATAGGTAGGTAGGTACTTATAATAAATACGATTGCACTATTTGACTAGACTCGCACAACATATTATGGGTTAGTCCTCCTACACAGGCGTAGGAAGGTTTCTGATATAATATTTTTTGTTCAAATTAATCCACATCACATCGACGCACCAGATATTTTAGAGCATATTAAATTTTGAGTTCCTAGATTTAATAGCCGGCTGCAAAATTGAAAGACTTTTGTACTGCCCCACTGTAAGACAAGACTCAGGAATCACTCTCCTCTTTATAGAATGTTTTCAACCTAGATTACTATTCGAAATGATTTCGACATATTTAAAGGTATTTGTTTCTTAGGTTTTCACGCACATCACTCATTAAATAAAACTAGTTTTTACGGGTTATTGCACGAAACTTTATTTATTTATTGACGTTTCGTAGCCTTTACAGGCTACGAAACGCTACGAGACTACGAGCTTCGTCGTCAGAAAGCCTGTAAAGGCTACGAAACGTCAATAAATAAATAAAGTTTCGTGCATTAACCCGTAAAAACTAGTTTTATTTATATTTAAAGGTTCTAAAGCCTCAACCAGAAAATGCTTAAAATCAATATTCTTTGATTAAGTTTTTAGGTATTCAGTTTAACCTATGTGTACTATATTAATCCTTAGTAGTTAGGTGGAAATTAGAAATGCATGTTGTGCTTGCATCTAGTAGGCTGCAAAGCAGCTGATGTTTTCTTTGTATGCATATTATATTTACATGGATATTCATTGTAACCAGTTTTGTGAGCCAAATAAAAAAAAATTGAACTACAATATTTTTTACAGGTCTTGTTGGTACTGCTCTTGCAGCAACTGTAGGACCCCGAGAATATATTGTAAGAGCAGACCACCCTTATGCGTACTTCATTAAAGTTCGCAATATTTTGTTATTTAGTGGAGCATATTGTGGATAAGGTAACAATGAACACAGCTCTAAACTATAATAATGGATCAATTTAATCCAATAGGGGACATAATTTACATATTTATAGGATATATATTAAGTAAGTAAGTTGTATATGAATGTAATAGCTTTCTTCTGCAATACTTAAATATTTTGGACGTTAAGGAAGAGCCATACAACTACACGACATTATATTGTGATAATAGATGAAATAAACTAATCTTGCCCTTTTATTATCACCACCAGTTATTTGTCTTATTATCTTAACTACATACGCACCGTGCTAAGTTTCGTGATAAAAAAGAATTATTAAGAAGACCCCATTGTTAATTATTATATATATGTATAACTAGCGGCCTTCGTCCGCGTTAACTTGATTCTATGTCTCAATCCAGGCCATAAACATATGCGTACCAAATTTTACCCAAATCCGTTCATTGGTTTAAGCGTGATTGAGTAACAAACACAAATTTTCACATTAAAATATTATTAGGATTGTTTTTATATTAAAAACAATGAACGACTTAAAGTGCAGCCTTGGGGCATACCCTAAAGAGGCACCAATAGAATTGATTCCATTGATGATTACTTTTTGTGTTTTATTGGAGAATAAAATAGCAACAAACCAAGTTCAATATTTGATATATCGACAGTGGAAAGGCAAAATCGCTTGTACGGCAATTTGGTTGAAAATTAAACTTCTTGCTTGAAACAAACGTCACATCATACTATCGAATGATGTAATGTTTGCTTGAAGAGAAGTATATGTAAAGAAGTGTATGAGTAGTTTTTAAGCGCCGTCTGATTCGTAAATGCGCTATGTAACTTTTTATTATAAGGATACTAGCTGTCCCAGCGAACTTCGTACCGCCATAAAGGAATAGGGGTTGATGGTAGAAGGGTGAAAATTTAGGGTTATATGAATTTTTGTATGATGTATCATAAAAAAAAACAAAAATTTTGTCCAAAAATAGGGTTAACATTTAGGGGATGAAAAATAGATATGGTCCGACTCTCAGACCTACTGAATATGCATGTAAAATTTCACGACCGTTTCGGAGTAGTTCAATTACGCACACCATGACACAAAATATATATTAGAATTAGAAAATGTTTTTGTGAATATGTTTTAATTTATCATGCTACTTCGCTTTTACAGCAAGTTATGATTTATTTTTGTGAAAAACAAAACTTTGTCCCTGGTTTCTGTAAAGTTACTAAAGTGGAGTTTCGATGTTCCGCTGTCGATATCATAATGCTCTAATTTAATGAGTAATGTTTCATTATTTAAACAATCTGAAGCTTTTGTGTTAAAAAAAATGAAATACGAAGGCATCAAAAACACCTACATTATAAACAGCTAAAAAAGTTATTTTTCAAAATAGATATGTATATTATAAAAATAAACTGTTATTTGCATTAGAAAATGGTTTTTTATTTAAAATCCTTTAGTCACCCTTAATTAGTTAATAATTGCACCAAAAGTTTAACAATTAATAATTAAAATGTTAATTTCACTAATAAGCAACATCGCCCTACACATCAAAGTAAATAAATCTACGAGAAAGTCTATAGCGCCCTATGGGCTTGTATTTAGCCAAAATCATATTTGCCATTATTTTTACATTTAAAAAGCTATTGGCGATTTGCTTTATTTTGTGATTGGTAATCCCACAGTAAGGCCGGTCAAGGAAGGCTGGCTGTTTCTCTATTCTCTGTCACATCAGCTGGTACAGATTTTTTTATTAGAACAACTGTGGTATAGATTTCGTAGCCTTCAGTAGAACCATATGAGTAGAGAAACGTAGTTAAACAAATAAACAGCACCTATTTGATCTAACCTTGGAACTCCGGTCAAGTAGGTACTCTCTATATTTCAAAGAGCTTTAATTAGAGGCATAGCAAATTATTCAAATAATATGCATAATTCAACTCTTTTAAATAGTTATTTTTTCCCCCTATTGCCATTGACACTCTTATATTGAGGGCATAATAGGTGATTATTAAAAAAAATGTACAAAATTATGTAACAGCAGACACAAGATATTATGTTATTACAGAGTCAGTGGTATGATTTATGGTAGGAATAGTTCTAGCGTAACTTGGATAAAATTAATCTGTAATTGAGTGTAATCACAATACACATTGTATTTTCTTAGGAAGTGATTAAGTAAAAATCTTAATATAAAAATCTATCTTTAAAATTCATTGTTAACACTTGATATGTTTAAGCGAATACCAAGATAATAAGAACTTAGACCAAAAGTGGGCTAAGATAATTTATTTAAATATTTTCTAGTAGAAAGGTGTAAAAAACGTGACCGTCAGAATGGCAGTCGTAAACAGCGTTGAAATGGTGTTTAAGAATTGCGATATATTTGTTTTCAGTCGTGAGCCATTTGCTTCCTTATTATTTAAATAAAAAACAAAACATTTAATGTAACATGACATCCTGATGTCAGGATAGCTAAAATCTCATAAAATTGGTGAATTCTAGTAATATTTCAAAATCTGTTATTAGCCAAATTACAAGTTAGTTGTAGTACAAGTAGCATGCTAGAAAAAAATCTTATGACTTAGTATTCACTTTACACTAACATTCTCAGCTTAGACATGTAAAAATGCCCTTGGGATATTAACCCATATAAATTAAGGTTGTGTTAGTCATATTACTTACAACTTAAGAACAGTTGGACCGATTTTAATTAGCTCAGTATTTTATATTCGTTACCACCCCGAAAAGCATAATAACTACTAAAATTTCGGAAAAATCACTAAAAATTACTAAAACATCACTTTTGTAATCACTGTCTATTTACATTTGTGTGTATAAAATTGATAAATAAAAAAATAATAAATATGCAGAAAATGAATTGGTAAAGCTGGTTCTGGGCCCAGGAGGTTGACACTTATTTTCTTTTTTCTTCGAATTATTTGTAAACAACAAATAAAAACCGACTTCAAAATAAAAAATGGAACTAAAAAGCAAAATAAAATTTCCCGTTCACACAAAACCGAGCGAGTACCTATTATGGATTTGATATATTATTTTACTAGCTTTACCACACGGTATACACGGTTTACCCACGGTTTATTAGGTATATTTTCCCACAGTAAAACGTAGCCTATGTGTTAATCCAGTGCGTCAGCTAACTCCGTACCAAATTTTGTTAAAATCGCTCCAGCCGTTTAGACGTGAAGAAGTAACAAACATACACACTCACACACGCACAAACTTTCGCCTTTATAATTTTAGTGTGATATAGTCCAGGCGCTAGAGGTAGTTGAGTATGCAAAATCCGAGTGACGGCAACTATGACCGGATTCTTATACCTGAGACCCTAAATAATAATAAAACACATCTTGCCGCCAGATGTAATGGTCCCTTCCCGCTCTCTTCACATCCCCTCTTCGCCCATACATTAAGCATAGCGCGCGTACGCGTTTAGTGTGTTTCTACACCTATTCACGTAAAGACGTTGCTTTGTTAAGTCGTATTTTTATTTAAAAATATAAAAAATAGTATTTTCGTAAATTCTTAGTGCCTGTTACAAGTGTATTGACTACTTGGCTTCCTGTTTGTTGTATTGTTCCTAATGAACCGCAGTTTTATGTCAGTGTCCGCGGAGAGCTCTTGCAGGTGCTCATTTTGCTCGATGATGTTTCCCAAGAGCTCTTCCCTGCGCACATCTTTGGAGATACCTTTCACCATGACCATCGGGCTTATCTTTCTTTTTGGTTCCGCAGAGACTCCCATAGCCTCCGGTGCGCCGTTGATTCTCCTTAGGGCGTCGTTGAAGTGATCCACACCGTCAAATTCCACACGGGTCTTATCGTTGGATAGTTTGGTAATCTTAGCCGCTGTATATTTGGCATCCTTGTACTCCACCAACTTCTTCAGGGCCCTCACCGCCTTTTCCCTTGGGTTTCCCTCTCCTTTGCACGACATGATCAGGGCTGGTTTCGGAGCGGCGGTTCTGTTGCTCGCTGGGTGGTTACTCGACATGATAGGGAGATCGGTCGACGGGGCAGCCCTCGGTGGTCCAGCCGCCATTTGTGCGATAGTGAGGGGCATCGTGTTCGGAGTCCGGCTAGGGGTGCTGGTCTTAATCTGCGCTTGATTTCCCTTAGCTCTTTCCTGATCAGCTGTAGGTCGGCGGCAATGGTAGGCTCGACCGATGGAAGAAGTGCGGGAGCTACCGCCGGGCTGGGTTGTGTTGTAACCTTTGGCGTCCTTGATGAGCCCGAGTATGCTGTTACAGTAGTTCAAGGTGTTCTCTCGGTTGGCCTTGGTGACAGATTTGTTCTTACTGCGCTTGCAGTCGACATTGTCCAGGATCTTGTTAACGTACCCGGATATCGTTTCCAGGAGGCGGCTGCTGGAAGTGAGCGTCGTCTTTGACGGTTCGTGTTCAAAGACCAGGGGCTCTTGGGTTGTAGACATGAAGTCAGGGGAGTCCCTGCCTCCAGTATCCGGAGCTGCCAGGTCCGCTTCCGTGGCCACAGCACCAGCGGCTACGGGCTTGGCACACTTGGCTACTGTACAAACATTTATATAGAAAAATGCTCATTTAACACAATTACCACCCATTGATTATTGTTCATTTGGTTACGAAAAGCTCAACGGTGACTTACGTCCACGACAAATGATGAAGCCGTCTTTATCAGAGTCATTAATTTCACCATGTAAATGTACTGCGGATTGTCGCACAATGTCTTGTAATTGCCAAAAATCAAAATTGTTTTGTATTTAATTATGTAACTGCATCAATAACAAACGTAAAAATAAAAATGAATAATTTTGTACCTACTATAAATACATTTATGCTTGGATTGACTGGTTTTTCATGACTAGGCAACTTTATTTTTTTTTATTAATAAAAAAAATATTACTATGATTTTTTTTTATTATTGAAGAATCCATCCTGACTTTTACCATTACAAAAAACTATAAATTATTACAAAAATAATCATTAAAATGATTTTATATCATGTACTCAATACATTCCCTTTACGAATAAGAGAAAAGGGGGTAAAATAAATATGGACCAAAAAATCGACCGGCAAGATTCACATTATTATTCTTTGACCTATTCTTCACTTAAATCCGTTGGCAAAATTCGGTACTCACATTATGCATACTCACTTACCTCTAGCGCCCGGTCTGATTTTTAGTTCCATTTTCGATTTTGAAGTCAGTTTTTACATTATTATATTGAAAAATTAAGCACAATTATATAATTTTCACTATGCTTCCGTGGCATGGTCTTAATAATTGCAACTGGCATGTAAGTAGTATCAAGTATGTGGAGTGTTTCAACATGTCATAAATTTCACTTGGTTTCAGTTTCCAAAAATATAGAACCATTCCTAATATCCCAAAAAGTCTTAAGACTTTTACTGAGGGATTAAGGGATGGCGGTGTTTGTAAATCCGGCAACCAATTAAGCCCGTTTTAGAATTCGTTGATTCGCCGTTAAGGTACACGTTTTTAAATTTTCATTTTCACTGTGTCTCTATTATCCTAATAAATTATTGAGAAGTTTTTTATTCTTTTTATTTCGGCTTATAACTATTAATTTAAATAAGCTAAAAATTTCAAGATAACCAAACTCATGGACTATTAGGTGGTGCGAAGTTCGCCGAGACAGCTAGTATTAGTATACGATGAAACAACATTTCGCTTTGGAGACAGGTTTATTGGAAAACTATAATTAATAATTCAGATATATTGAGTGACGAGCGGGAACGGCGTGGTCGCGCGACCGAACGAGAGGTTAAAAACTAATTGTATGTACTTCACGAAAATGAAAGAAATGCTTAAACGTATGCTCAACGGAACGCTAAAAGAGAGACGTCTTTATAACTTTGCTCATTTACCATTCAGTTTAGTAATAATATTATTAATTATGTCATAATGTGTGCTGCTAAATTTTGAAACATGTCTCAAAGTAAACTTTTATAGCATGTATTAAAATATTACATAAACTTTAATAATGAAAACATTAGTGATTTGCACAAACAAACAACCTTATTTCAACTATGGTGTTGATGATTTTTGATTGGTTCAACGATTATGTTGTGCTACTATAAAATATAAGGATAACTTCACCACATAGTTTAGATCATAAGTAGTTAAGCATGTGGAAGTGGGTGTACATAGCAGCAACCTTCGTTAGCTACTGCACGGGGCTGATATTCGCAGGTATTTCATACTTAAAATTACTTTATATTTCATATTCTGATAACAAAAACTAATACTAAATAAACAAAGCTTAATATCGAACTTTGAATTGTTTATTCAGAATTTAAACGAAATTAAACTAAAATTTTAACAATGATCTCCAGTTTTCATTCTTTAAAAAACATGACAATGATAACCTGTGCTTTTAAAGAATCATTGGAGAATCTTCCTTCCATAATATGGCCTAATCAAACCAAGAAAACGGACCATAACCTACCACAGTAAAAAATAAGTCAAATAATAGTAAATGTAAATAACTGTATGTCTTACTACGTACTTATTCAATCCAGGTAATAAACTGTATGTCTGCCAAATTTCAAATTTTAATCCGTTCAACCGATTGAGAGTAATATTGATTGAGTAACAACGAACCTTAACAAACATTCACAATTATAATATTAGTAGGAATTAGGATTTAGTGAAATGTTGAGCAATTTGCAATTCCATTCACCAATGGGACCACACCACACCTAATGTACCAATGACGTGTTTAGTCAATGGCATTATAAAAAATAAAAACTAGTTATGACCGGGCTTCTTAAAAAAACTATGGGCAATGTTATTTATTCTATTTTTAGTTGGTTAGTTGACTGGATTTGATAAATTGATTGCGTCAACCACTTCAAGAAGACTTCAATGTATGTACTTTTGACATTCAATCAGTTATTTTTTTATTCCAGACAGTTCAGCATCAGCTTACGCAACTGCTTCAGCCATAGGTAACAAAAATACATTTAAAAAATATTTATGTAATGCGAATATGGACAGGAAAAAAATACAACCAACCAAGTAAAGAACAGTTAGATAAATATTATTTAAAAAAATAACTTAATACGATAGCCATTTAACGGATAAAAGTAAAAAAAAGGTTCAAAAGAGTCATTGCAGCCGTGATGCTATTGACACAGGGATTACCAAATAGGAAAAAAAACTATGGATTTCCTCGAAGATTTCACCAGCTACATTTACACTTTTGAATTTGTTTTTTATCTTTTTAGTCTTCGATCAACAATTCTACAGATAACAGGTGCATACAATATCAAAACTAAAAACTGTCCGCGTATTCGATTTCCAATGAACAAAGATTAATGCTTTTAAACAGCTTATGTTCAACCTAATAACAATTTTCTCACAAAGGAGGTTAAGGTTACAAGTAACAAAAGGTTATTTTTTCACATTTCATAACTAATAGACTGCATACAAAAATATTTCCATTTTATTTCACATAACTGAAAGTTAACTGTGTTGTGAAATAATTAACGGTTATCTTAATTTGTTTTATTAAACACTTCAATAATGTCATGTTTTTTGAGACTGTTACATTTGCCCCTACGAAAAATTGTGAGTGGGGTTAATATAGCTGTTTTGTTATAAGGTATTAATAAAATACTAGTGATGTTAATGTATCGACTCAAATTTTGTAAAAGTCAATACATTCATGCACACATCGAACCACATGTCTCAACACTAATATAAATGGAAAAAGATACATTACCCCCTGACTGTACTTTAAGTGATTTTAATGCAAATTGAACTATGATACAGAGCATTAAAGCACAAAATAAATTACATTTCGATGGACATGACGTTTACTGTTAGTTTGAGTATTATAGATACTACATTAAAAAAGCCTTACTGATGATTAGCTACAATTACCCCAAGTCCGGGCTAAATGGGACTATCCGCGACTTTAAAGGTAGAATATATTCAATTTAAAATCAATTGATTTACTTTTGATCAATCTGAACTCGTCTACGTTATTTAGTACATGTGTAATATAAAGGATTAATTGTATTTGATAAATTCTATTAATAAAAATATTATAGTCAGAAGTTTGACATATTTTTTTTTGTAGCTACAATTGCCCCGAACCCTAGCGGTATTTTCTTATTATTTTGAAGTGCAAGAATTCAAGTAAGGTTTTTATCGATATATCTAAATATATTCAAACATTTAGTAGTTATGGCGAAATAGTGAAACGTACAAACATGAACTTTGAAATATTACATTTCTTTTGAGGCTGTTGTCAATGACCAATACATGACAATGAAGGTCATTGGCAGTTGTATTAAAAAGGAACGGTGACGGTACCTGGTACAATTTGCGGTTGAGTAACATTATTTGCCAAAGTTCTGTCATGGGATGTGTGACCAAGAATATGTCTTAACTTCGTAAACATAGAGATGTTGGTAGTATGTAAAAGGAGAAGCTATCATTTGTAATGGTTAGCATCAGCTTATATGCTGATCGATTTCGAGTGATTGGTTATAGAGAATCTCATAACTCCAGTAGCGGCTCCTAGCGGTTTCAGGGCGGCATGGATAAAGTAATTAGCTGTTAGCGAAATACCAAAACAATAGATACACATCATTAATTTTATTAAAACACTTGCTTTAGCCTACGACTTCGTCCGCGTTTTCGTCGTTTTTCGTAAAAAAGTAGCATATGTCCTTCCTCAGGGTTCCGTGGTTTTGATGTGACAGACAGATTAACTTTTGTATTTAAGTAGGGAAATATAATATGTCAATCCACAATACTGTTAAAAATATCGCAATAAGGAACCGCAGAATATTATTATTATCACTGTGCCCCGAGACCATCAGCGTGTAACTCCTTGTATGTTATTATGTTAATGTATTGGTAATATTGTTTAGATCGCTTTCACATGAGTCTTAAGTACATATAGAATGAAAATACTTCAGCGCAAAGCTTCCGGGTAGACTACGTTGAAATTTGACCCGTCCGGAACGCGAACATAAAAAAATCTAGGACTGCTAACCCGGGAAAGACCGACATAACTGACCATGTGAAAAACAACTGACACCGAGATCTACTCCAACAACACGAAAGGTCTGCCCTTGAGCCTTATTTATTGTCATTGCATAACACACCGATACTGGGAATTGCGTTCTTTTAAATTGGAATGGAAAATTATTTGGTATCATGGGAATTCTGGGAGTAAAGATGGTTTCTCCTGCACCGCAACCTATTGAAATTTGAACCTCGATTACATTTTGTTGCAACTGGGTTACTTTAGGCCGAGTTCCATTGCAAAGTTGTGGTGGTCTTAAATTTCGGAGCAGAATAATCGGAATGCCAATTTTTTAACAAATTTCATGAGAAGGAAGTCCGGGCATATTTAAAGAATTTAAAAATTCTATCGGGTAATTAGTGGCTTCTTGTTCATCGGCCATTCTATTTATTGAACTATAAACTTTGCTTTCCCCCTGGATATTCGACAGTATTTTATTATTAATCTCAGATGCCTGGTCATTGCGAGGAGTTAAAATGGACCTTTCGCATAGCCAAGAATTTTCCTTATTTAATATATTTGTTACATCACCGTAAACTGACGATATAAGATGTTGTTGGGATTGCACTATATAACATAACTCAGGCGTCAGAATAAGTTTTCCTTGGTGTAGCAGTGGATAGGTATCTTTGGTGAAGGTATTTTCTTTAATAATATATCAGAAAATTCATGACCATCCGGGTTATCTACAGTTCTCACTCGCATGTTTATAGTCAAATGCACCGATTGTATATCACGCCACAAATAAGAGCTTTTCAGGCAAGCCCTAACCTCATCAGCTCGGGTTCCCCGTGGTATTACCGGTAAGGTTTGTCGGAAATCACCACAAAATAAAACTGTGATACCGCCCATTGGTCGATCATTTTGTCTTATATCCCTTAAAGTTCTGTCTATCGCTTCTACTCCTTTTCGATGGGCCATCGTACATTCATACCATATGATTAAATTACACTTTGAACGAATATTTAAACACTACCAATACAACTAATACGTGGTCCTAACTTTAGCTACCTTACACTTAAAATCTAAGTGACTATTTAAACTAAAATATTCTTATAGAATTATAACCAGAAATATATACAACTTACAACAAAAAAGAAATGAAAAAAAAAGATAAATTTAAAAAATCAAAAAACCCGACTGCTTAATTATACTTCAAATAAAAACTGAAAAGAAAAAAAACAAGTCCAGTAGTCTATAATTCTGTTAATAAGGAACAAAGCTACTTAACAGTCGGGACCCATTAGATATTCAAGAATACATAATATTTTTCAACAGTGGGTCCCGACTGTTAAAGTAGCTTTGTTCCTTATTAACAGAATTATAGACTACTGGACTTGTTTTTTTTCTTTTCAGTTTTTATTTGAAGTATAATTAAGCAGTCGGGTTTTTTGATTTTTTAAATTTATCTTTTTTATTTCACACTTTTTAGTTAGTTAGTATTTTAAGACGGTATACCGTAGTCTTGTTACTTCAGTAAGGGAATTAATATCGTGGGAATTATTAAGTACCTTGCGTCGGTCTAAAAGATTGATTCATTAAGACATATAGAGACTTTACCAGCGAGGTCAAGGCTACAATCAATTTTCGCAAAAATGTGCGAAGTTAAATCGAGTCGTTACATAAATATCTCTAATGTATGTAAATTTTATAGTAAACTAGCACTTACACAAAAAGTCATCTTTTGTTTATGTTTTTTTTAATAGTTTAGCAGTAAATATAAAATTCATTTACTTTTATTCGTCGACTATTTAAAATTGGTAGTGGCTGCATTGTGATGTCAATGCCGGACGACTAAGATTGTGATATACACAAATGCAGTGTCAGTCCCTAGTGTCATAATTTGATATACCTACATAATTCACAGAAACCCAATATGTAGATGCCAGAAGTTAACTTCAAATGTTTTTAATCACCCTATATACAATACCAATCAATGACGTTTATGTCGCAGGTTGAAGAAAGCAGTAATTCCCGTTTGTTGTTTTGGACAATGGTGGCAACTGCCTTAGATCACTAAATTAAATAATTATGCAATCACCAAAGCAAAGTTTATAATATTTGATTTAACTAAAGGCGCATAATAAAATTTTCATAACGTTAGGTAGAGCACCATAGCAATCTCATTTATTATCAATTTATAGTTCTCTTTGTAGTTTTCTTTTAAAGCGTTCACATATAACAGGTCAAAGACTTTGTGATCGACCCTTTTTTATTGGTAGTGTAAAGCTCGAATGAAGAGTACTGCCAGTAGTGCAATCATGGCAATTATTTTCCAAAATTTTTTTTTTGTTTAAAATAATACCGAATTTCGTATCACTGTTAAGCACAAATGCTAAGTAACTTTTACAAATATAATCAAATAAACCTATAACTTACTTTATTTTTAAATCTTCAATAAGTATGTACTTACTAGCGAAAAATGGGTTATTTGTCATTATATTAAGTAAACCTTTTTTGTAACATTAAGTGATATCGTTAAAAAAATGAAAAACAGTAAAATTCTGAGTTTTTCATTAAAATTCAATAATCATAAATACCTGTTATGATAATATATTTTTCATCATTTAATAAGAAGGAACTGTATCACAGTTTTATTGTTAGTGCTTCGTATAGGATCAGATACTGCGAATAGCTCATTTTTTTTCTTTTACATAATACACCGCACTATCACTTTGTCATCGTTGTAACTTTTTAAATATTTGTCGAAATGACATAGTGTAAAAAGCAAAGTTTATCGTCTTTAAATATCAAAAGCGATAAATGTATTTGTTTTGATAAAAAATGATTTGTTAATACAAAATGTGCATTTTGGAAATATATATCAAATAATATTTTAGTTTTGATTCACTATTTTAGCGGTAATGACTTACACATTAAAAATAGATATATGGTGTCACGGACTTT